AGGCCAGAACACTGGAGTGGATGGCCATGCCCTCCTCCAGGGGATCTTTCCAGCCCAGGGATCCAACTTGCATCTCCTGTGTCTCCTGCATTGGCAAGCAGATTCTTTACCCACTGAGCCACCTGGGAAGCCCCATAAATAAATGCAGTCTTGGCATTTAAATGGCATTAGAATGAGATGAAATGAGATCCCTAGGGAGTGAGTAGAGAAGAATAGAAAAGGAAAGAGCACCGACAACAGAACCCTGGTGTCCAGGCTGGGGAAAAGAGAAGGAATCAGCAAAGAAGGCTAAGAAGGAGAGACTAGTGAGGTAGGAGTAAAATTAAGAGAGCATGTATCCTGGAGGCCAAGTGAAGAAAGACAGAAAGAAAGAGGAATCAACTCTGCCCAATGCCATGAATAATCCAGGTAAGATGAACACCTACCCTTTAGATGGTCTTAAAGCCTATTGTATTTCCCTCACTCAGCCTCTAAATCATAAAGCTCCAATTACCTAACAAAAAAATGGGTATATTGTCAACTCAACTATATAGAAAATCCTAGCATGAGTATAAAGCAGTATCCAGAATCTCTTGGAATTTATGTGATCACCCCATTATCAATACATGTGTGTGTGCTGTCACTTTTGTAGTGTCTGACTCTTTGTGGTCCCGTGGACTATAGCCCACTAGGCTCCTCTGAACATGGGATTCTCCAGGCAAGAATACTGGAGTAGGTTGCCATGCCCTCCTCCAGGAGATCTTCCTGACCCAGGGATCAAATCACGTCTCTTACATCTGCATTGGCAGGCAGGTTCTTTACCACTAGCACCACTTGGGAAGCCCTTATTAATGCATACCTGTTTCTTACTTGTGTATAACAATTAAATCCCACCCCATACTAGAGATGGAAAGGATGTGAAGAAACTCACATGGCCCAGAGATATGGGAGAGTAAGGGTCAACAGCAATAAGAATAGAAATGGACTGGTCCATGAGGTAACAAAGAGTCAGGCATAACTGAGCGACTGAACTGAACTGAACTGAACTGATCCCATAATAAATCTGAGTGCCAAGATGCTTTTAATGATTCTATCAGAGATAAAGAATTTTCAAAGAGCAGTTTGGAGATCAGTCCAGTTCAGTCACTCAGTCATGTCTGACTCTTTGCAACCCCATGGGCTGCAGCACACCAGGCTTCCCTGTCCATCACCAAGTCCCGGAGTTTACTCAAACTTACTACCATCAAATCAGTGATGCCATCCAACCATCTCATCCTCTGTCATCACGTTCTCCTCCTGCCTTCAATCTTTCCCAGCATCAGGGTCTTTTCCAATGAGTCAATTCTTCACATCAGGTGGGCAAAGCATTGGAGTTTCAGCTTCAGCATCAGTCCTTCCTTCAGGACTGATTTTCCATAGCATGGACTGGTTGGATCTCCTTGCAGTCCAAGGGACTCTCAAGAGTCTTCTCCAACATCACAGTTCAGAAGCATCAATTCTTCAGTGCTCAGCTTTCTTTATAGTCCAACTCTCACATCCATACATGATTACTGGAAAAACCAGAGCTTTGACTAGACAGACCTTTGTTGGCAAAGTAATGTCTCTGCTTTTTAATATGCTGTCTAGGTTGGTCTTAGCTTTTCTTCCAAGGAGAAAGTGTCTTTTAATTTCATGGCTGCAGTCACCATCTGCAGTGGTTTTGGAGCCCCCCAAAATAAAGTCTCTCACTCTTTCCATTGTTTCCCATCTATTTGCCATGAAGTGATGGGACCGGATGCCATGATCTTAGCTTTCTGAATGCTGAGTTTTATCTCAACTTTTTCACTCTCCTCTTTCACTTTCATCAAAAGCCTCTTTACTTCTTCTTTGCTTTCGTCCATAAGGGTGGTGTCATCTGCATATCTGAGGTTATTGATATTTCTCCCTGCAAGCTTGATTCCAGCTTGTCCTTCATCCAGCCCAGCATTTCACATGATACACTCTGCATATATGTTAAATGAGCAGGGTGACAATATACAGCCTTGACGTACTCCTTTTCCTATTTGGAACCAGTGTGTTGTTCCATGTCCAGCGTTGCTTCTTGATATGCATACAGATTTCTCAGGAGACAGGTCAAGTGGCCTGGCATTGCCATCTCTAAGAATTTTCCACAGTTTGTTGTGATCTACACAGTCAAAGGCCTTGGTGCCAGCCAGTAGAGATCTTTATTCTCCTTCTTTGCTCTATTTGCTTTCTACAGCATTTATCACAGTGGCTGTTATGAGAATGTGCCTCTCAGACATCCATCTATTGGGAAATAATTGACCACGGGGTCCCAGCTGCTGTACTCTGAAATCTATCCCTGTATTTGCTCTAAGACCATGCCTCTTAAGAATTACACCCAGCTGTTGATTGAATCTGGCAAGACTGCTAAAGTAGGCTTATTCTTGGGAGACACAAGGTCTCTTGGTGGCTGACATTGTAATGCTCTCTGATAGACTTGCCAATCTTCCTTGAACTGCACAATAGATCAGGCTGTTTCCAGCCGATTTTCCTTCACTCTTACCTTCACTCTGGTCAGATTTGCACATGTTCTGACAACTCTCCCAGACTCCCCATCTCCAGCCTTTGCTGCCTACCTCCCCCATTCTCTCTCACACTGTCATTCTCCTAATAAAATCAAACATATTTAATCCACCATGGCATTTGGACTCAGACCAACATAATCATCTTCTCACGTCCTACATTTTGCTTGTTTATTATATTTTATGTTTTACTGCCCACTAGAATGTAAGTTGCAGCAGAGCAGGAATTTTGTTTATCCATGTATGTCAAACATCTACTAGAATGCCTGGTACATTGTAGGTGCTTAACAAATATGTGCAGAATAAATGGACAGCAAAGGCTTACAATTAGCAAGTTAGTAAATTCATATTATCAACGAAATAACTGAATAAACACATGACAATCCCAATCAGTTATCACAACTTTGCTCCTTCCTCAGTTCCCTGATCCTATTATTTAATCTAGTCCTTCCCTTACACTAGAAAACACTTGGGTTTTCCCATTACAGAAATGAGATTTGAGAAGTAAATTGTTTTTAGGAAAAGATCCAGGTTAATAATTGGATGACTGCCATCTGTTCTGGGCAGCCAATATGCAATTTTGACTGAGATATTTATCACTATCTTTCTCTTGTCTTTAATTTCAGCCAAGATCTGCAGATAAACAAAATTGAAATTTTTGAAGGCTAAATATTCATCCAGTAGGAATCAAACTTGGTCCACACCTGATCAATTCTCCCATTCTCTAGCTTCCCTAAATGTCTCTTGAGGATGGATGAGTAAGGACAAACTATTCTCAAGTATGACTCCAGATTCTGGAAATAGGGTTGGTTCTATGGTGGGATGGCTTTAAATGACAATATGGGGAAGTCTTTTCTCACTGGGGCCACAAGTTTACTTAAGGAGATCCCCACAGGGTTCCAGCTAAGGGGTGTAAGCCCAGCTCTAAGTGTTCTGGGAGCTAGATGGAGGAGGAGGCTGGGGTCCCAACTCTTTCTCACAAAGGTGGATGTAATCTTCAGCCTATTTCTTGGGCAGACCTGAAGAATGACTGTTAGAAAATCCAGGTTCCAATCCTGGCTTTGCTGTTTATTACCTGTATGGAAAATGACCTCTCTGATCCTCAGCCCCCTCATTTTTAAAATAGGGCTAATATCTTTCAGCCTCTTGTAAGATAAATCTGACGTAAAGCATTTGCCTATAGAGGGTACTCAACAAATATTAGCCATTATTAATTCTGATATCGATAATGCAAAGGAAAGTAAACCATTTGTTCAATGTTTGGGTTGTCCTTTTAACTTCTTTAGCTGAATGTTGATATGAAAGTGCTTAACAGCATCTACACATATAACAATGAAGTAGGTGGTAATTAGGATTGATTGCATCAAAATTTAATTAAAGAAAGGGCAAGGAAAAGAAAACAGACAAAGTCAATCATAAAGCTTTCAAAACTCTGCTTTGAGCTAAGAGTTTCACTGGACTTGATTTCTTTTTTCCAAAGGGCCAGGGAATTCTCACATGGTGTCAGGCTACATGAGTTACAGAATGTCTCATCAGACTTTCAAAGTCGCCACACTCCTTTCTCCTGGGTAACTGGTGAGGTCAAAATGGCCACCTTCCTGAGTGTCATTGATGAACAAGGTGCAAGAAAGAAATGCATGCCAAAGAAGTCCAAGACAGAAATAACAGAGAGTGGTACTTGACATTTAAACCACACTGAACACGGCTGATGGGCCAAGCTCTTAACAGTGTCACGTCACTGGCTTTAATTTCTCCATGACCTAAAGATTCCAAACTTTGAAACAAACTGCTGGAGTAGGAAGAGGTGAGGACAGCCTGATGTAAATTTACCTCCAGATTAAATTCTAAAGTTGCTCCAGAATTTTGTATTATTATCTGAAAGCAATCAAAGAAAGAAAAGCAAGCAAGTGACTTGGCCCAGTCAAGGTAAGGCTCTGTCTTTGCAACTCTGGTAGAGAGAGAGTAGGGGTCAACAACTTTGTACAAATACACACAGACCCACACATGCAGAGATCTGGTTGTGTGTGGCTAGAGCAGAGGCTGATGAAACCCAGAGCGTGGGCTCCTGGTGCTACTCCTAGAGAAGAATGAATCGGGTAAGGAACAGTTAATAAGAAACTGTGCCTCGCTCACTGTGCACACTGCAACAAAGAGCTGGCAGCTCCAGAAGGAAAACGGCTTCTGCCGCTGCCGTTCAAACTTGTCAGTCAGCCTGTGCCAGCAGCCTCAGCGTCTGCCTCCCCGGCACACCCTCATTACATGTGTCTGTCTGGGCTGATCTGTACATCTGCTCAGAGACGCTCCTGCCTAGTCGGGGATTTCTGCTTTGCTCCACCGGTGCAGGAGTGGGTCTCTCCCGGCTTCTCTCCTGTCACCTCCACTCCTCTCCCCAAGGAGGCTCCTGCTTTATGGTAGCTTTGGACTTCCCTCACTGGCTGCCTGTCCCCGACTTCTAGAATGGAAGAAGCTGAGCTGGTGAAGGAGAGACTCCAGGCCATCACAGTAAGTCTGCCTAGTTATAACTCACGGAGGTGCTTGCTTACAGGAACGACAGACACGCTGCTTGCTGCCCCTGCTGCCGAGCCCCGCTAGTGAAAAAACAGAACTGTCACCTTTCGTGGGCAAGTCTCTGCCGCCCTCTTAACCCTGGCGACCCTCTGTAACTCTTGGGCTTCCGAATCTAAGTAGAGAGCAAATGTTCTTGATTTTCACAAAAACTGTACGTACGTTTTAAATAGCAGTCAGAAGCTTTTAAGGCAGTCCTGAAAAGCATAGATTTTCCTTACATTTATATCTGATAAACACTAGATCAAGAAACTGATCTTCAACTTGGAAAGTTTTTAAAACACTTAACTCACCAAAAAGTGAAAATCTTTTAAAAGGAGGAGAAAAAAGAAATTAAGAAAACTACTTGAAGCTTTTTATTTGTAGTTGTGATAGTGTGTTCCACAAATTAAAACGACTGTCGTTGTACTTTAGCTAAGGATTAAACAAGAGAAAAGTAGGTAAAAGCACGTATCAGATTAATTCTAAGATATCAGTTTCCAGCAGAGTCACAAACTGAATAAGATCCTGATAAAGGAATGTAATGCATGCAATGCAATGGATTGGGAAAATATTTTGTTAATACCAGGAAGGAGAATAGTGCATTTTTTATGTTTGTTCTGGGAAAGAATCAAAGTATGAAATGAATTACTTTCCCTAAGTGATCCAGCTTTTTTTCAATTTTACAAAGCCCTCTATTTGGCAGTCACCTGGAAATCTCTGACACAATCATTTATCATTGGCTACAACTTATCATATAATTTTTTTAAAGAAAAAACACTTTAGAAATCAACATTCCATTTTTTCAGCATTTTCTGACACTGAAATTAGCTGTCAAGAGTACTATTTAAAAACTGATGCATAGTATCACAGATGTGGGTTTATTAATTTAAATGTATATTGGACATTACTATCTACAAAAATTACTCTTTACTGTCTTGTGAAAAGAAAACTGATGTAAAATCAGAGTGAATAGAAAGATATTATTCTTTGCTCTTCAAATTCTCATAGCATAAATTATTATTATTATTATTAAGCCCAATTTAGAATTTTTATTAAAAAGATACAAAGTTTCAGGTTCCATTCAGAAAGCATTCAGTAACTTTAAATATTTTCTCAACCAATGGTTTAGGAACCAAAAGTCCACAGATAAAGTTGGCACTTTTCCATAAGGCAGTGCTCTCAAAATGTCCAACTCCTAATTAGTACATTTTCCTTTCTTCAGAAAACCTTGGTTTGGATTATTGTTTGTTTTGCTTTGTTCCTTTTGTTGTGAAACTCAGCCACTGTTTCAGCTGTCTTGCTTTAAGGGACAGGAACTGGGCTCTGCTCTGCTGTTTTTGGCGTGGGCCTTTTGCATTACAGCTGTTGTCTAAAGGTTACTTTATCAGGCTGTGTAAGTTGTGTGGGCACAAGCTCTGCTTTTCCTGACCCTTCTATCCCCTAATTAACTAAATTAAATCATATATCCAATGAAATCCACATGTAGCTCCTTCCACCTTTTCCTTTTTGAATCGCAGCCTACCCTTGCTTCAGCCCTTATTACGCCTGCTGCACTTTACAACTCATACTGAAGCGGCACATGTTCTAAGGGTAAGATCGCACTTTGAAAACTAGGAATTTTCACTGAGGGTTCCAACTGCAAATAAAACTAGGACAAAAGTCATAATGCTTTAAATGCCTTACAAGCAGACCAGAGAGTAAACAGGTTCCTGAATATACTGGTGTGTACTTTTATGATGATTAAAAAATAATAATAATAACAACAACAACTAGTTTTGGATTATTTCATTAGCTTAACCATATCCCATTTGAAAGAATAAGCATGTCTAGAAAGTAAAATTACAAAATAATCATATTTTGGAAGTAAAACACTTGTATAAAATTGTAGAGAAAAAATTGAGAAAAGTTTATGGGGACAAATTTCCCCTAGTCTATACCTCACTGGACCAAGTCCAGTCACAGAGGTCACCACTGAAGATGAAAAAATGGAGCACTAGTGTGTCCATGGAAACAACACATCCACTCATCTCCCTCCCAGACGCCCTGGGAAATGCCAGCTCGCTCCACCCTTGCCTTACCCAGGAAGCCACCTCAGCTATTCCCCTTCCCCCTAGGGAAATGAAAACACAGTGTCCAGAGAGTTTTCAGGGATTGTCTCACTTTTGGAAGCACTTAAAATCTTCAGACTCTCAGACCTAGACTAAAACTCAGAGACAATAATCTCATTCTAACTGTTTTCATTCTATTTCTCTAAACTGAAATAATTTTTATATACTTCAGGAACAAAATCAAAAGACAGTTGCCCAGTATAACCAAACAGAGATTCAGAGACTTCACTTTATTAGAAAGCAAAACTTTCAACATTCTAAGATCAATTTGAGTTTCATACTAAAATTTACTCCTCTAATTCCTAGCTGAGAAATGAAATAATCTTCACTGCAATATTTATTCCACATGATTTCGAGGGTCCAAAAAATCATTATTTCTACTGCAAGAAATTTTCACTGAAACTTGATAGAATCAAGTGCCAGTCTTCTTGTTCCTCTTTTGAAAAGAAACAGATTAAACACAGCAAGTAGATGGAATGTGACATTAGGTTTTCAAATTGAAAACTAAATTACTGTGATGGTGCCTTTATTTCTCATACCAGTAAGTTGAATTTTAGATTATTCAGAATGCTTCTCAAAGACTTAAAGGGAATAAAAGAAAAAATTATGAAAGTACACAGAAATGACTGCTTAAATAGGGTACTTCATTTGGTTGGAGAAGGAAAGAGCCATCCAGTCCAGTATTTTTGCTGGAAAATTTCATGGACAGAGGAGCCTGGAGGGCTGAAGTCCGTGGAGTCACAAAGAATTGGACACAGCTGAGCAACTGAACATGCGCTCCATTTGGGTATACCAAGTATAGATTCTATTTTGTATACTTACTCTCATGTTGCTCCTTCATTACCTTATCCAGGTACTGGCATACCTTGGAGACACTGCAGATTTGGTTCTAGATCACTTTGATAAAGCAAATATCACAATTAAGTGAGTCACATGAATTTTTCAGTTCCCAGTGCAGACAAAATTTATGTTTCAACTATGTAACATAATGCAATATTACTATGTCTAAAAAATAACACATATGAGTGCTAAGTTTCTTCAGTCGTTTCCGGCTCTCTTCTACCCTATGAACTCCAGGCTCCTCTGTCCACAGGATTCTCCAGGCAAGAATACTGGAGTGGATTGCCATCCCCTCCTCTAGGGGATCTTCCTGACCCAGGGATCAAATCCACATCTCAAGCTTCCTGCATCGGGAAGCGGGTTCTTTACCACTAGTGCCAGCTAGGAAGTCCGCAATTTAAAAAATACTTTACTGCCAAAAAATGCTAACCATCATCTGAGTCTTCTGAGAGTTGTAATCTTTTTGCAGTAGTAGCTTCAAAGATCACTGATTACAAAGACAAACAGTGTATGTTTTCACTTGTATGTGAAACCTAAAAAAATAAAGCAAATGAACAATTATAACAAAGCAGAAGCAGATTCACAGATACAGAAAAAAAACTACTGGCTACCAGAATAGGGAAAGGGGCTGGGTAGGGGCAAAGTAGGTAAAGGGGATTAAAGGTACAAACTATTAGTTATAAAATAAATGTTATAAGGACATAATGTACAGCACCAGGAATATAGTCAACATTTTATATACCTTTGTATGGAGTAAAATCTATAAAAATATTGAATAGCTAGGTTGTACACCTGAAACTAATATAATATTGTAGGTTAACTATGTTGTTGTTTAGTCATTAATCTGTATGCAACTCTTTTGTGACCCATTGACCTAGCCCACCAGGCTTCTCTGTCCATGGGATTTCCCAGGCAAGAACACTGGAGTGGGTTGCCATTTCCTACTCCAGGATATCTTCCCAGAACAGTGATTGAAAATGTGTCTCATGTGTCTCCTGCATTATCAGGCAGAATTCTTTACCACTTTCTTGAGCCACCAGGGCAGCCCTCAAGTCACTATACCTCAATTAAAAAAAAAAAAAAGACTGCTCACAACGGGAAAAAACAAGAACAAAGATCACCGATCATACATCACCATAACAAATATAATAATGAAAAAGTTTGAAATATGACAAGAATTACCAAAATGTAAAAGTGATCAAATGCTGTTAAAAAATAATTGTGCTAATAGGCTTACTCTGTGCAGAGTTGTCACAAACTTTCAAACTATTTTAAAAAAGCAGTATCTATGGAAATAAACACTATGCATCTAGCGAAAAAAAAGTGAAGCACAATAAAGTGAGGTACTGTTGTTCCAACTCTTAACTTACTAAATTAATAAGTTAATTAATCTCTTAGTATCTCTTAGCCAAAGAGTTTTAAGTTTTCAATTATAAGTGGAAAACAGAATATTTCAAACTAAGTAAATACTACATTGATTAAAAAGTCTCTTGAGGCTTAAGTTACTACACAGTATTTTAACAAATATCTGATTTTTATACAAAAGGAGAACTATTAAAGTAGGCTAGCAAATAGAAATGCACTTTAAATATTATCAGAACTGAGGCTACCAATGTCTCCAGTGTTCTCTGAAAGAATGACATGAAGGACTGAGTTATCTCTACAAGTTTCCTCTCTGGAAGTGAACACGGTACACATCAAAGAATGATGAAATGGCCCAAGTGAATTTCCCACAAAAACAGAAATATCTTCTGATAATGAGTAATATCCTGTATTGGGGACTTCCCTGGTGGCTCAGATGGTAAAGCATCTGCCTACAATGCGGGAGACCCAGGTTCAATCCCTGGGTCAGGAAGATCTCCTGGAGAAGGAAATGGCAACCCACTCCAGTATTCTTGCCTAGAAAATCCCAGGCACAGAGGAACCTGGTAGGCTGCAGTCCATGGGGTCACGAAGAGTCGGACACGACTGAGAGACTTCACTGTTCATATCCTCCTTCCTAAGCAA